CCCGGGCGGGGGGAGCGCGGCGCTGCGGACCCGGGCGGCTGGCAAAGGACGAGGCGGAGGCTGAGGAAGGCAGCGAGGAGACCCAGGCTGCAGCAACAAAGGGCAGCAAGCGATTGGCCGGGCTGCAGGCGAGGTTAGCCGGGGACCCGGGTGGCCCGAGGCAGCGGCGAACGGTGCACGTGCTTGCAGACACGGGCGAGTGTGGAGCCGGGGGGTGCACGCCCGGCGGGCGAAGCCTTGCTCCCCCGCGGGATGGGATAGCGAGGAGGCTGCAGCGACATCGTTCTGCCTGCACTGGCCTAAGGCTTGCAGGCTAAGGGTGTGTATGGGGGAAGGATGCAAGCCAGGGGGCGGGCGAGTAGTCGCCCGGGACGGGACAGGAGAGAGGGTGGAGGAGGGGGCGGGATGGAACGCTCCAGGCGGCGCGCCCGTCCGCGCGCTCCGCCGCGGGAAGTGGAGGCTGAGAACCTCGAATTTTAACTTCGCGTGCCCGCCCGCGCGCGCCCGCCCGCGCCCACCCCTAAATCCTGCGGCCGCCGCCAGCGATCAGCTCTCACACAAACTTTAGCTGCGGGCTAGGGGACTGGGGTTGAGTGGGGGAGGGGAGAGGGATAAGGACCTCTGATTGGCATCGTCTCTAGCCAATAAGGCACAGCGCCTACCCTGCGAGTCGACCCAATCCATTCCTAGCGGTGGAGGGGGCAGGTAGGCGGAAGCAGAGTTGGCGCGGTGTCTGGGAGGGAGAAAAAAAACCTGACCAATAGATGCCCGGAAGGGGCGGGCACAGTGCTCTGTTGATTGGTACTGGCAGTAGACCCTCCCCCGGGGTGTGCCGCAGGGGGATGATGGGTCGAGGGGTGTGTCTATGTGAAGGCGAGATGACCGGCAGGAACGTGCCCCAATGGGCTGTAGAGTGATTAGTGAGTGGGTGACGGACAGACCCGTAGGCCAACGGGTGTCTTTAAGTGTCTGCGGTCTCCTCCAATGGGGCAGTGCCGGGGCGGGGCCGCAGCTCGGGTTTAATGAGACTCCATTGGGCTGTAATCAGTGTCATGTCGGATTCATGTCAACGACAACAACAGGGGGACACAAAATGGCGGCGGCTTAGTTCTTACCCCTGGCGGCGGCGGCAGCGGTGGCGGAGGCGACGGCACCTCCTCCAGGCGGCAGCCGCGGCTTTTTTCTCAGGCAGCAGCAGCGCCCCCGGCAGGCGCGTTGGTGGTGGCGCGCGGCCAGGTCTGTCGCCCGCCCCCCGCGCGTTCCCAGGGGGAGGAGATTGGGCGGGAGGGGGGCGTAAGGGGGAGCTCCGGGCTTGAGACGTCCCTCCCACAGGCCTCTGCGCGAGGGTCACCGTGGGGCCGCTCCGGGTCAGGCTGCCCCTGAGCGTGACGGTAGGGGGCGCGGGGAAAGGGGAGGAGGAACAGGCCCCGCCCCCGACTGGCCCTCCAGGACAAGGGGCGTGGCCCTCGGTTGGAGGGGCGGGGCGATACCGGAGTGGGGCGGGGTCAGGTAGTGGCAAGGTGGAGGCTTGGCGGGGGTTTGCTGAGTCCTGAGTGGTAGGAGCCAGCGAAGGTCTGGGGTGGGCTGATGAGGGTTGTTTTGCAGAGCAAAGTAAAGGTGTAGAAAGCAAGTGCTGAAGGGAAAGTAGGAAGGTGCTAAGTTTTGGAGATGTGGAAGGGGGACTGAGGGGTATCTGAGGACAAAGTGATGTAGAAGGGTGAATTACTTTGAGCAGAGGAAGGATGGACTTTGGTGTGGTTGTTGAAAGTAAAGCCGGATAGGTGTTGAGCAGAACAAGTACTGAAAAGTGTGAGTAGCAGGTGGAATTAGTCTGGTGAAAGGAATTATTTGATGGAATATGTTGGAAGAAAGGAGGGTTGCCTTACTAGGTCCACTGTTTAGGAAAGCATGAATCTAACGTGGGAAAAATGGTCAGTGTCATTGGGAGCGTCTCCAAGAGATATGTGAAGGGGCAGTTGGCTACTTAGAACTTGCAAACCGTGAAGTGGAACATCTCATGGGGAGAGAAGATTCAGGGGTTGGAAAAGGCGGCAGGTGTGAGGAAAGATGGGCACAGGTGGGCAACAACTCCGGTGAATGTGATTTGGTGGACTTTGGCTTGAGGTTGGGGCAAGAAAGGTGTGGGAGACAGCATTCATTGATAGGTTGGATTTTTGGGCAAAATTTGAGCTGGAGACTTGAAAGTGGAGAAGGATGCTAGGAAAAAAAGCATGTGAACTACTTTGGGAAAGAACTTTGGGGATTTTTCCTTTTGTAAGTACTTCAGAATGGACATAGTGTGGAGAATTATGGGAAATGAAGCTGCAAAGGTAGTGCAGTTGAAAATGAGTTGTGTTGAGATAGGTTATGTGATTCTCCAAAGAAAACTTTTTTGAAAACATTCTCCCTGTCTTAGGTATACTTTATACACTTTCTGAAATAGCCCGGAAATAAGACTTTCTTATTGATAGGTTTGTAACACACATATTAAAATGAAAAGACAGTACTTTTATTGTTTTCAGGAGGAAAAGGAAGGGATGAGTCTTAGCTGAGACCTTCCACTCAGAGTTAATGGTTGGGAGGTGAAGTGATTATTAGGAAAGAGAAAGGAAAGATTTTAACATAAAGGAGGATCAGTCTTTACTTAGAGAATGGCAAATGAAATGTGGATGGGAAAAACAGAGTGAAGGGAGCCTACCACCCACCCATTGCCGTAGAGTTAATTTTGGCTTTAGTGACCCTGTAGGCCAGAGTACACCTAACTACCCCATGAGGTTTCCACGACCTTTACAGAAACACTGCCATCTCTTTCTCCTGTGAAGTAGCTGGTGGCTTTGAACTGCTGCTTTGTGGTTAACAGCTGAGCATTTAACCACTGTGCTAGTGCTTGCTCCTCTTGCAATTTTAAACGTATATGTACACATATACACACACGTACATCTTTTTATATGCACAAGTTTCGATAGGTGTCTCCCAGTAGATCCAAAAAGACTACCATACTTTGGAGCAGTTGTGAACAAAACTGCTATGAGCATTCCTGAACATTGCCATCTGGTGCACATGTGCATGGATTTCTTGAATGTACATCTAGGAATGGAATTGCTGGCTCACAGGTAGAGTGACTATCTTGGTTTGTACCTGTTATAGTCCAGTATAATTAATATAACACTTTTAATTCCCAAAAGTGTCTGGGTTTGGATCTTAAGTTGTGTGGTTTCTGTGATCATAGAATACTTTTTATCTTTAGGTATCTGGCAAGCTGTCTTTTGGAAAGATACTAGGTTATGCTTCCTTCAGTGACATTGCAGTTGCTTTGCTTATTGTCCTCTTCGAATCTCAGCTTTGTTAAGCTTTTAAAATTTTAGAAAATCTGGAAATTGTTCCCAGGCTGACCCTTGGAGACAAGGGTTTTGAAGCTTTATCACATACTTTGGGCATGTTGCCAGGAGTGACCAGTCCCTGGAGTAGAACAACATGCTTGGATGGATGGAGAGACAGCACAGGAAGGGATGACCCTGAATGAGATGGATTGACAGTAACTGGGTTAATAAGTGCAGGTGTGTCGGAGACAGTGAGGTTGGCTCAGGGTAGAGCAGGATTCAGAGATGTTTGTACATAAGGTCGCTGAGAGTGTAGTTGACGATAACAAACAGCAGTAGTGTTTTTATGTATTGGCCATTTGAAGATTCCCATTTATGAAACTTCTGTTTAAATCTTTCTCTCACCCACTCCAGTTCCCTTCACAAAACTGGGCTGTATGTCTCCTATTGCGTATTTAGAAGTTTGTTGTTTACTCTGGATATACATCTTACATATTACATATTTCATATTACAAAATGCGTGCTTCCATTTTGTGGTTTGCTTTTTCATTCTCTTCATGGTGTATTCAGTGAACATAAGTTCTTAATTTTATCGGAGCAGATTTATTGGGCTTTTTTTATAGTTAGTGCTTTTGGTGTTTTACTTTAAGAGCCTTTTCCTACTTCAAGGTCAAGAAGATCCTCTCCTATGCAGTGTTATCTAAAAGCTTTATTGACTTAGGAAGATGTAGAACTGTGAGTAAAATACACTCTTCTTGACCCTAAAACTTGTCAGTACAATCTGTTTTGCTTTACTTAATTTTCTTCTATTTCATCTTTTTTTCCATAAAATAATTATTTTGTGATTTTAACGAAAGGCTGCAGAAAAATTAGGTTTTCATTCATTCATTATTGCACATTTTCCTCACACCCCTCTTCCACTTCACTTTTTTTTAAAAGCCATTCATTGCTGCACAAATTCCTCCTTGCTCCCCACCCCCACAGTCCTTTCTGCTATGTGTCTCTTATTCTGGATGTTGTCTTATGTACAATGCCTAATCATATATTTCTTTTAAACAGTTCTTTCCCTCATCTGTTTATTCCATCAGTTGAATTTTCGCTAAGAACTAGATACTGTCTCTTGGGAGAAAATGACCATTTAGACAAAAATTCCAAATTACTGTATACAAGTCTCCAGCTGATTACACTGTCTTTCGTCCCCTTTTTATGAGCTAGTATTTTCATTGTGTTCCTGTTAGGTGCCTGCCACTATCCTTGTGTCTTTGCATGTTTGTTACCTTGTAATAAGTAGTGCTAGTCCTTGCCTAGTGGTAAGGAGTTGTGCTGCCAACCCAGAGGCACACATCCACTAGCTGCTCTGAGGGAGAAAGATGGGCTATTTCCTCTCCCGTCTACAGACTCTGAAAACCTGTTGGAGGGTCAACTGTGAGTCAGTTCTGACTTGAGGGCATGTGAGAACAACAACTACTAGTTCTGTAAAACAGATATATTCTCATTGTTACAGTTAAGAAAACGGATCTAGATTAAAACAGCATGCCTAACATCTCACAACTTAAGATACCTTGCAAAGTGGAGCCTCAACTCCTGAGCTATTTAGGTACTCTCCAGGATAGCATAATTGCATATTGAATATGTTTTTGCAAGACTGATAATACCTCAAACCAATGAGAATGATTTTCTTGCTGTTAATGTAATATGGAATTCTAACTATATACTTAAAACCCAAACCCAACTCACTGACCTTAAGTTGATTGTTAACTCTTGACAGTTCTTTGTCAGATTCCCAGGGCCTTAAATCTCAATTGTATCCAACTGTCTCATCTTTCTGGCAGAGAGTATGGTTGGCTTGAACTACCAGCGTTTTGATCAGCAGTGCAACACTTAACTTACTGTGCCACCAGGGTTTCTTCAAAGTGCATATGGATAGTTACTATGAAACTGGCACAGTGACTGACCTCTGTGTGCGAGGGGAAGGGCCTTTGGGTAGGCTCTAGCAGCTCTGTAAATGTCAGCAGTTGGATGCAAGTGTGTGTATATCTATGTACTCATTTTTAAAATAGGCTTCAAATTTTCTTGAAATTCTTAGAGAGGAACCGTATTTGTTTTCTGGATACATGGTTTGAAGAGTTTTGTGATAAAATTAACACAGAACTCCGAAATGATCTGTATTTTCAGAATAACCTTTTAAAAGTTCAGATGTCAGATTTTCTTACTGCATTATTTGTTCTCAGTCTTTGTTAAAAATCAACTAAAGCAAAATTATAATTAAGAAGAAATGTAGAATTGAGTAGGGATTTTTAATTGCAAAAAAAAAGAGACACTTCAAATTTGGTTGATTATTTCTTAAGTGAGAGTGCTTAGTTATAATATCATCATTACTAATCAGCATGCCCTGGCTCCAAAGGCCTGAGGACTTCAAATGACTTTTCATCTTGTCTCTGAAATCCTCTGTTTTACAAGGGATCAAATTTCCTGTGAGGTTCCTAACAGCGTGATTAAATTTTAGAGACGGAAACGATTGAGCACTTAAATGCAGGGATGACTATGCAAACCTAATTCATGGGCTTCACCAGGAGATTTGGGACATGTCACTACTAATTTATGATGATGATGTTGAAACTAATCTCTGCTAGGGATTATGGAAGCCATAATAGTTTATTGATGGTTCAGTTATTGTTTGTTGAGGCAGATTTACACAATTATAGTTTAATGACATAACAAGGATATTGTCAACTAGGAGAGCATGACATGAAAAATTAAACTTCCAATTAATACAATATGTATTAGTTGAAATGATCATTTTCATGGTGATTTAGTCTCTTAGAAATCCTTGGAAAACATTATTAGCTTATGAATTGAAAACTTATTATGTTAATGAATACTGAGAAAGAACTTTGTGTTCGTCTGAAAAGATGA